TGTTTCTTTCTTCTAAAGACCAAACTTACCATGGTGAAATCTGAGGAGGTCTGGGCCAGCTGAGAAATTCAAAACTGTGCTTGCATTAGCTTCCAGTGCAAGAGCTTTGGAAGCAGCTCAAGACTCACCATTTTTAAACTTCAGACCTAAATATTTATGAGTCGACCTGCTCCAGCAACTGGTTAGCCACTTTCCACTGGTATTTCTTTGTTTTTCTCCTGAACACCAGGATTTTAGTTTGGAATAGTTAACTGGTAAAAGCTCCCAATTGCAGTATGAACTGAAGGCTTTCGAAAGTTCATTTAATCCCATTGCAGCTATCACAGAAGAATTCTGGCATCACCATATAGCACAAAGCAAGGATTAGCTGCTGATCTAATGAGGAAGAAAACTTGCTCTTCCAACAGAGGTTTTTCTGAGTCTGCCCTTATCCAGGAGGTGCTTCACATATAATTTGCTGCTTATACCCAAAAAGCATATAGGATGATAGTTCTTAGGATCAGATCTTGGATCTTTCTTTTAAATAGGAACCACAATTCCTACTGACCAATCCATAGGAAAATATCCAGTTTTAGCAGTAAGTGTAAATAGGGTGGCTAATCCATCTCGGGTAACACCCCTGGTTTAGTGTCAAAGTGTGCCACTTGGGCACAGCTGGTTGAACAAAAGTGTTAAATATACACTTTAAATCCCCAGAAGTAGCCACAACGCTTGAGAAATCTTTCGGTGTAGATGGCTCTTTTCCAGGAAAAAACACACAAAAACATTCTGCTCTGCACAAGCAAGAGGTTACTCATTTCCTGTATCTCCCCCACCCCCCACCCCCCACCTCATTCATAGAACTCCCTAGCTCTTCCATGACACAGAAGGGAGTTGCTTACAATGCAGCATTTCCAACCCAAATGTGCAAAATGTTGGGTTACAGGAACTGAATGTTCATAGCTGATTTTCTTTTCTGCAAAGAACTGCTGAATGCCCTACAAATCCTCTGTTTACACAACTTGAGGCTATGGTGAAACAAACCAAAGTAAGCGCTCTAGATTTGCACTGTCTGCTACCCAAAGGCATTATAACTGCAAGCTTAGCAATATTCAGCCCATTGAGCAGATGTCAGTAATTCTGTTCCATTATGAAAAGCCCAGATGGTTCAAGACCAGAGAGGAGGCTTTGCTTTAACATAGACATGCTTTGGGATCAGTGATAATGTCGGTCAACATCACAATTGGTGCTGGCATATAATTGACTTTCCATGCACTTGCACTTTTCTTAGGTCTTCCCAATGGGGAAAATGGAATGTGCAAGACTAGCAAAGAAGTCCCATATTGTTCAAGTCCTGTGTTGCCTTATGACACATCTGAATCTTATTGTATTGCTACAACAGGCCCCCCCCCCCAACATTTTGGAGCTGGTGGAGACTTTGATAATCTTGGGAGAATGCTATAAGCAATCCCACACATAGATGTTGTGTGAGGAGGGAGATGCCCATTCGCAGAACAGCTTCATTGATGGGTATAGCCAGTCACAAACAACCATTTTACAAAGGCAAATTAGCAAGATTTCAGGAGAAACAGTATGCTTCAAAAGCTATGCACAAAGCAGAAGTACGTACTGAGCTCCACAATGCGAAACCACCCTTCTGAACTCACAGTTTGGTGTGTCAGCACCCATTTCACAGAAGGCAAACTGATGAGGCTCAAGGATGCAACTGAGTACAAGGCAGATGAAGAGTCTGAGCCCAAAAGCCAAATCTTATATCTGCCCCAACATTGCACAACAAAGCACCCAATCCACAAATGGTAACCATTGATGCTCAGAGACAAACATACGTACAACCAAAACACACACACACACCACACCAGAGCAGAGCAGAGCAAGAAAAGAAGCCAGTCTTATTTTGGCCATGCTTCAGTTTCTTAGATGGTGTTCATCCCATCATCAACTCCAAACACCAGTTCAGGATATCCAAAACTGCACCTGAAGATGATGGGAAAAGGCATATGAATGGCATTTCAGCCCTCATCTCCAAGCAAGCTCACCCAGCAGTTTCATAAGATGTCAAAAAGCCATGGGGACAAAATGGAGTTATGCAGCAGAACAGAGCTCCCCAGAAACACCTTCTGGCAGATAGGAGTGGAACCACTGCAGATCAGTGCCCTCAGTTGCTTTGGGAACTCCAAAGTCTATGGGATGATTGAAAGAACCAGGAGAGCTGTACTGTCCTGCTTATAAGAACCAAATAAGTCTCCTGGGAGAAGCGCAACAGCTGATTGGAAACTTATTACCTGGTGTATGCATAGTAGTTGCAAAATATCATTAAGACCAGCAGTGACAAGGACATTGGAGCAAACCAAAGAGAAGCCCATGCTCACCTTGGCCATCCTCAGGGACCCTGGAGTTTGTAGTCCATGCCTCCAAAGAAAAATATAATGCCACACGCCAACATATCTGTGGCTGTGTGCATGTGTGCGTATGTCACCATGTATGAATATGATTAGTAGTAGTACTGTTATTTAGTGTCATGCATAAATAAGTAATAAAAATAAACAATGTTAACCACAAATTACACAAAAACATAAGGAAAATGTCCTTTCACTCTTGGAATGACAGAAACTGTTCATTATTTACCAAAACAAAATGAAAAGCACTGAAGATTGTAATATAGGAAATATTGGTTGCTAATATGTATACCATGTGTGAAAAACTGTTTTTCCTTAACATTTTAATAGGTGGGGAAAACACAACCTGTTCCTTTAGTTAAGTACAGTAATACCCCAGTTCACAAACTCTTCTGTTTGTGAACAATTTGGTTCGTGAACAGAAAGTTCAGCAAAGTTTTGCTTTCGTTTGCAAACTCCGCATCAGGTGACGAACATGATTGCAGCCATCTTCTCCGCACAAACACGAATGCAGCCACCTTCCCCACTCTGACACGTGGTCGCAGCTTCCTCTAGTTGAGATCACGACCTCAGACTCTCCCTCCAAACAATAACCTCCTCCCCACCCACCTTCATGTCCTCCATGCCAGAAGTCTCCTCAAGCAAGGTAAGTGCTCTCTCTCTTCATACTGTACTGTACAGTACTTTGTTTCATATTTTTGTGGTTAAAAAAATTACATACATATGGTTCAGAATGGAGTAGCCTTATTTAAACTGTACCTTATGGGGAAAATTGACTCAGTTCACGACAAATTTTTGAACCGAGATACCACTGTAGATGGATATCTGGAGAGTTAGAGAGACTCCAGAGGTAGTTGATATTGCCCAGCTACCATTGAGCTGCTGCATTGCCTTTCTGCACTGCATCCATAACCAAAACTCACACCTTTCTCTCCCAGAATGCTACAAGTGCCCCTAAAATTCTGGTGTCTCAGACCGTTTCCTAATTTGTCTCAGTGCTTGGGCAGGCCCTGCCTTGAGCAATTCTTGCACTGCAAACAGATTCTGTGCTTAAGACCACGTCTGTCTGAAAACTTTGCACAGAAATCTATGCAATGAGACTTAGAGGAAAAACTGTTGTCTACAGCCAGGCTTTGCAAAGGTACTTGCTCATTTCATCCCTCATGTGGCAAGTTTGAAGAACTGGGTCCTGCACATTGGGCAATTCTGTCCAGCATGTTTGTGCATGGTTGAAAGTTAGCTTTGCTATTTGCTTCTACAAACAAATGCCTCCATTTCCAATATCTTTTGTTTGATGGTGCCGCTTTGAAAATGAGAGCACCTCATTGGTTAAGGGCTATCTGGCTAGCAATGTATTCCACAGTCATTCAATCAGTGGCAGCTATGGAATCTGGTATTAATTTCACTAGTAGGGGAATACATGAATGAACGTGTGAATAAACAGTTGTGTGTGCTGCTTCCCCGAAACAGGAGAAATAAAGCAGGTAAAATAATACAGTATTTTATTCCCTTCCTTAATTGTGACCCTGATCTTTGCCAATTTTGCTTTTTGGTTAAGAATTGATTTTTTAATTTTCATTTTTGATTAAAATTTCAAGAAGTAGCTATCTCCCATAACACAGGCAATTAGTTTATTTCTGTACCATAGCACACAGCTTTCATTAATCATTATCCTAAGTGTCCTTCCAATGGTAAGTAGATCACTTAAGGAAAAAATCAATGCAGTTTTTGTGTGAGCTGGTATATGTAGTTTTTCAAGTTACATCTGAACAGCTTAAAATACTTACAGTAGGTTGAATCCAGATTTAATCATGCATAAGAGTAAAAACCATTGGCATCAATAGGGTTACTTAATCATGACTGATTAAGTAATGGAAGTCCTACAGTTCCCAGAATTTCCCTGGCCAGCACGGAACTGCAGGCCTTGTGTCTGTCTAAACATACATAGGATTGTGCCCTAGTGAATTTAACGTTAAAATCTGCCTTTCAATAGTCATGTCATTGGTCTTTCTAGCTCAGTATTGTCTATATGGACTGGCAATAGGTTTTCATGGTTCTGATGGAGGAATTGCAGTAACTAAAACAGAGCTCTTCTACCAGCAAAGCTTGTGCCCCACCCCTAAGCTGTGGCAACCGGAACTTAATGGGGACCTGTATAGCTACCTCTGTTCTCAACATTGCAACCTCTTGGCACCAATCTAAGTGATTAATTTACCTTAATCCTAGAAGCATGTGACTATGTTGCTCCTTAGTAAGCAAAAAGCACACTACGCATGCTTAGCAGCACTGCCATTATTGCTTCACTTATTCTAGATAACAGCCCTGATTCAATGACTGAGCCAAAACTCAGTAAGCTTTAAGACACACGTTGCAGTGCCCTTGGGGTTGCCCACCAAGTCACAGTAAAAACTAGCCATTTGTAGGGAACTGAAAGTTATTTCGCAATGTCACAAAAGCAGAAAAAAGCAATGCTGGAAGATAGCCCAGCAGAGCTTTATCAGACTCCTCCCTCCCAGTTTCCACCAGCCCCTTCCCAGCATTTTGTCTCTCAACCTTTGCTCATGGCATTGACCTATGCAAGTGTCCCATCAGGACAAGCTGCAATTCAAACATCTCCACTCAACAGCTCTGCGCTCTTGCCCAGGTGAAGGATCTGTGCTTGCCTGCCCGAGCACCTGGGAACTATGGCTTCCTGCAATCTCCCCTTTGGGGGAAAATCTCTAGGAAGGAGGCTCATAGAGGTGGCAACAACCCTTTTTTTCCTGGCCTGTCTTTGGGGTGAGTAAACCCTTTTCCTTAAAGCTTCATGTTAGCAAGGGTGGAGGTGGTGGCACATCCCTTGCCACCAGCCCTTTTCTGGTTGATCACTGATGGTGGCAGTCCTTGCAAACACAACTGGGATATGTCAGACTTGGTCTCATCCAGCCTCCCATTTCTTATGCACTTAAGCAAGATTACCTACCATTGAATACCAGTTAAGTGCACCTGAATTCTTAAGGGATGCTGAATATTTGTTTCATGTTAGAGCAGAGTTTGGTTCAAGGTGGATCATAGCTACCTGAGGCCTTTCTCGTGGTTTCAGGGTTTCCTGCAAATAATTTTCTAGGTGGTGTCTTGTGTGATCCGGCAAGCCATTAAAAATGTTTTTAAGCAGGGGCACATGACATAGGTTCATTATGCTGTAGCTCTCCAAAGATCTTGACTTGCACTGTAGACAACAGTGCTTCTGATAAATTAATACTGTTAATAATAAATTATGTAAGATTGCCCACCCATACATTAGGACACTAGTTGCAACCCTGAAGTAAAGAAATATACAAACATGTCTTGGCACATGGACAGAGTATTCTCACCTCTAAGTAAAATCATCTATAGGATTCAATTAAAGGCTTCATTAAGAATTGCCACTAGAAATTGGAAATTAGTGTTTCATCTACAGCTGTTATGGGAGTACCATACAATTGCATGTGTGATACAGAAGAGGACTGTATGTTTCCTCATGAACTTGGGGGGATCCCAGTTGACCAGATGGACAGGATGACTCAGTCAGGCCACCCGTGTTTAGTTCTGCACGAAGAGCAGAAGAAAAGCCATGGTGGAACAGACCAATGGTTTATCCAGCCCAGCACTCCATTCACATGGTGGCAAGCCAGCTCTCCACAGGATCCCTCAAGCAGGATGGGTACAAGATTTCTGTCTGCCCAACCGACTCAACAACTGGTGCATGCAAGCACAGCAACTCTGATAATATAGCATGAAGCCAGCAGGACTAGTAGAAGTTGATAGACTCTTCCTTCATGAACTTCTCCAATCCCCATTTAAAGCACTCAAATGGGTGGCTTTCAAAATGTTTAAAATGCAACTTCCTATGGCAGTGAATTCCATGCTTAAATATGTGTTTGAAGAAGTGCTTCCTTTTATCTGTCCGAATTCTCCCACCAATCAGTTTCATGGAATGATCCCAGGTTCCAACATTATGGGAGAGGAAAATGTCACCACTTTCTCCAAACCAAGCATTATTTTAAACACCTCTGTCAGGTCTCTCTTTACTCACTCTTTTCATTCCCTAAGCTAAACAAACCCATTTGTTGAAGCCATTCCTCCTAAGGGAGTAGCTTCAACCATTGGTCAGTTTACTTGCCCTTTTCTGCATTTTTCTAACTCAGTAACACCCCATTTCAGGTAAGGAAACCAGAATTGAACACAATATTCTAAGTGTGTTCACACCGAGATTTGTATAAGGGGAGTACAATATTGGCTGTTTTATTTTCAGTCCCTTTCTTAATTAAGCCTAACGTGGAGTTTGCATTTTTTACAGCAGTTGTGCACTAGGTCAACATTTTCATCAGGCTGTCTTGCCCAAGATCCCTGACTTCATCAGTCACTGATAGCTCAGATCTTATCAGTCTATACTTAAAGTTGGGATTATTGGCCCCAATATGCATTACATTAAACTTGCTTACATTGTACTGCATTTGCCATTTTGATGCCCATTCTCCCAGCTTAGAGGGATTCCTTTTTGTTTTAACCACCCTAAAAAGTTTGGTGTCATCAGCCAACCTGGCCTCTTCACTCCTTATTCCTAATATCAGATCATATATGAACATGTTGAACAGCATTGACCCTAGTACAGAACTCTGTGAGACCCCACTGGTTGCATCCCTCCGGTGGAAGAAATTACCATTATTCCTACATTCTGCTTTCTGTTCTTTAATCAGTTACTGTTCCACAAGAGGATCCTCCCCAATTTTCATTCCATGACTACTGTGTTCTCTCAGAAGCCTTTGATGAGGGACTTTGTCCAAAGCCCTTTGGAAGTCGAAGTAAACAATATCTACCAGATCAGCCCATCCATGTGTTTATTGACATTCTCAGACTACTTGAATAGGTTAGTGAGACAGACTTTACCCTTGTGGGAGCCATGTTGATTCATTTTCAGCAGGGTTCATCCCTCTAGGTGCTTTTTGATTCTAGTTTTAATAACACTTTCAAGCAATTTACTCAGAACAGACATTAAACTAACTGGCCTGTGATTCCCTGGACATGTAGATTCCTTCTTTAAAATTGGTGTTGCATTGGTCATTCTCCAGCACTCCAGTGCACAAACTGATCTTAACCAGGGATGTGTGAGGAATCCATTTTGGTCTAGAGGAGTCATTGGATTTCCTGGGCTCAGCATTCTTGTGGGTACCCACCAGGAAGCAAGTCCATGTGAGCATCGTGCTAACAGCATCCTTCTTCCACATACATGGCTTGCAGTCTTTGTTTGTGCTGCACGTGCTGTGGAGAAGATTGCTGGTTGTGCAATTTGAATTCTACAAGTGTTCACAGAGTTCTTTTCCTCAGAACTCACTCCCTAACCAAGGGCCAAGCATGAGAATAATTCTGACAGACAGAATAGGGCTGGATTTTGGAGAGGATTGTTGTAATCCTAATCTTCTTTACATATTTTAGACTTATAACATTACTTTTTGTAAGAAGGTCAGTCAATTCATATTTGAGTTCTTTAAGAACTCTAGGATGAATAACATCTGGGCTCAGTAATTTATTAACGTTCAGTTTATTAATAAGGTTGATAATTTCATCTTTTGTCAATGCTATCTGTCTTAAATCCTCTGACTTTCTTCCAGAAATTTGGGAACAGGTATCTGTTCTGTATCCTCTGCTTTGTAGACAAGTGAAAGGCATTCCTTCAGCTTCTCTGCAATCTCCTTATCCTCCCTTAGTGCTCCTTTAATTCCAGTGTTATCCAATGGTTCAATGGGTTCTCTAGGTGGTTTCTTTCTTCTGATTGTGTATTCTTTCCTTCAGATTGTGTCCACTCATTCCTACAGCCATAACTGATTTTGTATACTAGCCTTATATTGAAAATGCAGGGAAGTGGACATGAAGGAACTGATACTATCTAGCTTGGTCTACTCTCTCCCTTTTGGACTTGCCCACTTCCCTTGATTCTACTAGCAGTTGATCTGCTGCTTGGATCTTCACATGGGGAACATCATGGCCATTTTACAGCTTGCTGATGACAAAATCCCTGAAGCCACACACTGTGCATGTCCTCAAACTTCAAGTCAAGAAGCAGTTGAGAAACAGATTCATACATAAACAACTGCAAAGTGTACAGTCTGTCTGCTGTGCTAAAGAGAGGAGTGTAAACCATGTTACCAGAGATCTTAGCAGCTGATTTCTCAGTGCACTCAGAAACATTTTCACAGAAATTATTTCCCAAAATGCGTGATTGGAACAAGGACTGATAAAACATTTGGGTAGGGACAGAAACGCTTTTAAAAAGTTTTCTTCCATATATTTATAATCCCAGCAGATGTCCATAGTAAGGAAAGGAAGAAAGAAAGGGCAGGAAAGAGAGAAAGTTTAGTGGCATCCAAAAGTCAATCATTGCAGCATGTGCTTTTAAAGCAGGAGCTATTTCATGGGCTCAGCACATACAAGCTCAGACTAAAAATAAACATGCTAGACTTGATGCCTTGGATTTCCATTGGGTTTGAACATTTAAGCAATAACAATTGAAAGTACCTTCTCTGTCAACAGCAGTGATGTTGCTGGGGTGTGCTGGGATAAGGCTTTGCTTCTATTCCTGTCCATCCCACCTGATAAGGTGGAGTGGGCATGATTTACCAAATGCACCAGCCTGCTGTCCTTGTAGAACTTGCGAGAGGGGAGCAACTGTGGGAAGGATTCCCAGGACCCCTTCTTCAAGGGCCCAGACATCAGACAAAGTTGAAGCACTTCCTGCCCACCAGAAAACACTAAAAGATGAAAGAGACTGAAAGTAAAGAGACACACAGACTTTGATCATTGTCTACAACAGGAGTGCCAAACTGGCAAAGGAACACAAGCAAAATATATTGGAGCCAGACTGCTTGTTACGCTATATGTGTACTTTGGTCCTACTTTTGTTGTTTTCATAATTAGTTGGACTAAAATTGAGAAGACGCATGCTCAGATCCCTTGGGCATTCACTGGCCTGGTTCACACATAATGTTAAACCACAGAGTTCCTGACAAAAATCTGACTTGTCATTCTGTCTTAACCCATCCCCACTAACAGAGCACATAGTTTGATATTCATGGAGGAAGCCTGGTTTGTTTAACCCATGGCTTGTTGTGATATTTGAATCAAGAATTGTGGCTTATACCTGGCTTTTTTGGCCTGCTGGCCACCTTAAAACAGAGGTGTATGGCAAAAACAGACTGCAAATAAAACTACTCTGAAGGCTGACAAAATGTGACAGAGAAAATCAAACATGGAACAGGCAAATTAAGTTGCAGTTTGTTTGCTAATCTGTAAAACAAGCCATGGCTAAAGCAAAAAGCCATGGTTAATATAAATCATAGTTTAGCAATAGGTGTGAATGTAGCTACCATCTCTTAACCTAGAATCCTTACAAGGTTTTTGTGAGGACAAAATTGTGACTTTAGCATCTTGGAGGAAAGGCAGGATATGAACAATGTGGTAAATAAACAAACAAACTGGTTAAAAGGGGGAACAGAGCCATAGCGAATGCTTTAAAACCCTTTTATCCTAGTGTCTCAGCTATTTGCAAAAGTGTTATTTGCATCAAAGGGGAAACTGACATTCATTCCATTAACAGCTTCCCTTCCTAATACCAGCAGCTACTTTGGGAGGGTGGACAATTATACCAGGATGGTGATGTAGGAGGAAGAAGTTTTATAGAACAAAAATGAAACAAACAAACAAAAAACCCTAACACAAAAAGTTAATTTACATGGTGGTCTTAATCCTAATTGCTTCCTCTT